CTTAACATCATATCAAGACTAAAAGTGTAACTCAAGACACATTTTTTTCTTCTTCATAAGCTCATTAAGCTTATTCGTCATTAAGGTATTTGTCTTACGTGCATTAGAACCCTTGTGTCACAATTACCTCAATTTTTATTGAGTGATCATCGAAATGTATTTAGTCTTGTATATAGCTAAAATACACCCAATAAAGCCGCCCCGGGGTTGCGTGCATGGGAGAATCCCAAAAGGCACGTAACGTCCTACTGATTTGAGTGAGTCCACTGCCATCGTGCATCTCCATCGTCATGGCCATGCATGCATTTTTGCAAACATTCTCCTTATTCTAGGCACTTGAACTTAATGAGGGAACGGATAACCATCCCATCTCCACTTGTCAACGCACCCACCATCACTACTCCTTATTCCCATAAGATAAAACCCTCGGTTTCTTCATAGGTTTCCTTTAAATCCATTGGCAACAGGAGCTTATCGGCATATCACACCCTTAAAACATGACTTCTCCTGTCTTGCCCCATCACCTATCTATCTCTCTCAACCTCGAAATCACCGTTGCCATCCAAGGCGATGAAGGTCATGCCATCGACATCCCTTCAGCTATTACTCCGGGCCTTGCGTCTTTCTATATCTTGGGCTTAGTCTCCTCTTCAGATGAGGGGGTCCCTAAAAATGAAGTCCATGAGGCGGCATTAGAGGCCGGCTTGATAAAGGATGTGAAGTCCCAAGAGATTGCTCGTCTCCAGGACCTAGTGACAAGGCTCCGCCGTGAGGCAGAACACCACCAAAATATGTCGGACTTCTATTGAGTAGAAGGCGAACATGCCATGGAGACCTTGGTATTTGTTAAGAGGAAGCTGGCTCGCGTCACAAGACTAATTCGTTTCAAGGAGTGATGCCCTAAAGCATGGTTAGGCGGAGCTATTTATTTCCCCCCTTTTCTTTCTTTTTTTCGTTTTTTTATGTAAGGGGTAAGTCCCAAAACAAGTATAAATAAGCTACTTATTTTGCTCATCATCGTGTATCAATACATCTTATATTTATTTATTTTTTTGCATTCATATTATCTCTACATTCTTGGGCATATCTCATGCTCTATGCATCTACAGCTTAGAATTGTACAATCCCCACTTGTTAGGCATAGGATGAGTTTGATTACATAATCGAGACCTCCTCACCCTTATCTTTTTGCATAATGACAAAGGCATTCTCGTAAAATCATGGGGGCACAAGAGTCTTTTGATTTTCAGATGAAGGAAACTATGGTAAAACTCCCCTTTCTCATTATTATCCCGCCATCATCCTTGTGGATTCCAAGGCGAGGACGCCCAAGCATCACACCTCCCTTGAATCCCACTTCTTCTTCATTCTTCCTCATTCTTCCGACTTGAAACATAGAAACTTTCCTACTATCCCTCTATATTTTTCGGCAACTTCTCATTTTCCCAGTGACCTTGAACAAGCGTTTGTGACCTGTTTCAATCATGTGAAGTAAAGTTCCATTGACCCGTATTCGACCTCTTTCCTCTCAAAAATCTTTGCAACCTCATGTCCAGTGAGTTTGAAAGCTTTTCGACCAAACTTCGGTCATTTGCATCCAACTTCGGTAACCTTGAAACTTTATAAAACATCCCTTTCTTGCAAGCAAAGGTTGTAGATTTGGGTCTTTCGAACTTCCGTAACCACATTCCAACCTTTTCTACAAGAGTTCAACACAAAATAGTGAGTGCCCCTTCCTATTCTATTTGTGGTATGTCTATTATCTCCTTTTTTTTTTTTTAAGATGTATATTATCTTGTTCCACCTTTTCCGTTGTATCAACTTTAACATCAATTCCTGGCTGTAACCTAGCTCTTGGGCATCTGCTCACGATGGGAAAAAGGTTCAATGACCTTTATTTAATCCCATCACCTAGGTCTGAGCCAATGCTCTAGGGTTATGCCCCCAACTTTGGCTTTCGATCAATTGGACATGGGATTTTTTGAGATTTAATACTTCATGTGGAAGATATGCTCAAATTTTGTAAAAATCCAATGGAATTTCTTCATTATTTAGCTAGGCTTTTTGTAAAGTGTCAGTTTAGAATCAGGGGTTCAGTCCTGAGTTATCTTGAACTTCTATAACTGGTATTGGCCTGAAATTGAATGACTCGTGCGTTTGGTTACTGATATTGGATCCTATCTTCCGTCAATAAAGTTTGATGCTTATGATCGCCTAGCGGTTTAAACCTTAAAACAAATTTGGGGCTTTTTCAACCTTAGGTCTCTAGATCTCAAGCATACGTTAAAAGGTTACCTACTTATACATCTAAAACAATCCGGGGGTTTGAATCCCAACTTCCAGTCGTATAAGAGCATCGTTCATTGGTTCTGATCATCGGGTTGCACATATCAAGCATGCTTTTTGGGGATCAAACCATGCCCTGAGCCATGAAGGCAATGGGCACAAGTTAGTAACCTTAAACCATAAAAGAAATATGGGGCTAACGATTGAACTTCGTCATGAGCCTGCGAAGGCATCAGGTGTAGGTTAGGAACCTTAAAACGTAAAAGAAGAATGGGACTAAGGATCGAACCTCTTCTTGAGCCTGAGAAGGCATCAGTTGTAGGTTAGGAACCTTAAACCATAAAAGAAATATGGGACTTAGGATCAAACCTTGTCCTGAACTTACAAAGGCATCGGGCATAGGTTAGGAACCTTAAACCATAAAAGTAGTATGGGACTAAGGATCGAACCTCACCTGAGCCACGAAGGCGTCGGGCATGGGTTAAGAAACCATAAACCATAAAAGATGCATGGAATTGATCCTTTAATCATAAAAGAATCATGAAATTGATTTTTTCACTCTTGATAATTATGGTCTTTAAAAGAATAGAGTTCAAGTTCTAAAAATAGCTTGTAATATATTTTTGGACTGCCTATTTCAAGTTTTTTCGAATTCCGTAAATCTACACATTTTTTGCAGCGTCAAATTTCATAACTAGGAGCAAAATTTTAATTTTAAACAACCATAAAAACTTTAGCACTTGAATTGCATTTTCAATTGGGTTCCAAACTGAAGATTTACTTTTTAATCATAAAACCTAAGCTTTACGTTAACCTCACCCTTTTCAAAAGTAACAACTATATGTAGTCGGCTTAACCATGTAAATTGATTTTTTTAAGAAAATTGACGAACATTATTACATTTCCCCTATATTTGAAAAAAAATAAAAATTATATTAGGGTGAGGCCCTAAACAATTAAATTAAGCCGCAACACAAAAATTCACTAGAAGAGGTTGTTTCGATGCCAAAAGTCTTCAAATCGATCATCTCAAACTCAAGATGTATGAACATGAGAAAAAATGAATTTCAAGTCTTGGAAATAATATATCTTATAATATATTTTATGGACCATCAATTTTCAAGTGTTCATAGATCTCTTTGATATACACTATTTTTTAAGCTAAAAATTTTATAATTAGAGATAAAAAAAAATTCAAACCATCACAAAGATCCCAAATTTAAACATCTTCCAATACTATTTGAAAGTGCACCTTACTTTGATTTTTTAGAACCTCAACCTCATACAAACCACACCCTTAAAAAAATGGTGGAAATATAATGTACATAGCTTATGTTTGGTATACACAATGCACAAGTGGCGTATGCATAGCTACCCCATGTATCATGACACTCAACTTTCGAGTTATAAGCCATCATTGTACATATTGTCGGTCGTATCTGTACCACTTAATAGGTACAATTTGAAGAAGGTGTCAATCTTAAACAACCTGAGTACCGCGCGTATCTAAATCTAGCTAAAAGAAGTAACTCAGATACTAGTAAAAGCAATTAGGATGGCCTAAAAATCCATTGTCATGCCTAATTAAAAAATTTAAAGCTCAAAAGTAGTTTAGATTGAGAATATCTTTAAATTTTTTAAAAATAAACGGTCTAAATAATGTTTTAAAATATATAACATGTCTTGTTTTTTTCCATATTCATACACTTCGAGGTGGAGATGACCAGTTACATAGTCTTTTTCAAAATCAAAACACTCTTTAAAAATGGATTTATGAAACACCATTTTTAAATGGATTTATGAGGTGTAAAGCATAAGGTTGACACCTTATATAAACTTTTTCCCTTCTTAATTCCATTATCATGACCCTTGTCTAAAAGCGCCCTAGATGAGAAAAGCGAGGGCCCCTAATATGAGGAACATGCAGTGGGACCGCAAAGAGAAAACAAGACCGTTCAAATAATGGAAAAGAGAATAACAATTAAAAACAATAATAAAAAAGAGATTATATGCTTCGAACTCAAGACGTCATTTTATGACTCCATACCACTCAAACTACTGTTCGACTTAGCCCAACAGCTTTTTAATTTGCTCGTTAGAAACAAACATCCATTACATAGATAATCAAGAGCGATTCACACTTTTGTTTGGAGAAATCAAGGGTTTAACCAAATCAAGCTAACCTACAAAGGGGAAAACAAAAAATACTTAAAACAGCAGTAATTGAATCAGATCTACGAGATGAACCAAGGACATTTTGCATAATTGTTTGTGCACAATACACCTGAATTTCATCGTGCCTATTTCACAAAACAGAGTTATATGTTAATCTCCATTGCCAAAAACAACAATTAGTTGTCGGAGATTCTGTATCCGGTTATCCACCATCCCCTGATAGAAACTTGAAACTAGCTTCATAAAACATTCAGCAATCAACAAACATAAGCACAAATTTGCACCATAAGCACAACCATCAACAACCATAAGCACAACCATAAGCACAAATTTGCACCATAAAGCACAATCATCAACAACCATAAGCACAACCATAAACACAAAATAGTGATATTACAAACCAAAAATCAAACTCAAGAAGAGTTAATAGTTAATAACTTGACTATTAACTCTTATCACAAATTCACCCTACCATCCCCAAATTAACAATCAAAAGCATCACATCAACATCCAAATATCAAACAACCGCCAAATCAAAGATTTTAATGAAAAATAAATTTCCGCCAATTTTTTTTTTCCCTTGATTTGATACAAAAAAGGCCACAAAGTGGCTGAAAATCATCGTTTAGGGGGGTTAATACCCCCCAAACAGTTTCCCCCATTTTTGGATGGTCAAAAAGACCAGTTTGCCCCTCCCAAATAGGCAAAATCGAAAAAAAAATTGACAGAAAGGGCTGCAGTGGAATGCAGTGCGATGCAGTGTGATTCAGGATGCGACTACGATACGGCGCATATGCGGCTGCATAGGCCAAAAGTGCATATGCAGCCAATTCTGATGTGGAGCCCACCGCAGCATAGCGCATGATGCAGCCACATTTTAAAACCATGCTTCCTACCCCAAGCATAGGCAGGAACACATACCTGAAGCCATCCATTAGTTAAACACCATAATTGTACCAATCATTACAAAAACCTTATCAGAAAAAAAAAAAAGGGGTCATCCTACCACAGATTATAATCAACAAACTTCCTCTCACCAAAAAGGGCTCATCTCGCAGCAGCTCTAGCACTCATTGAAGAGTGATAATTTGTGCTTCTCTGCTTTCTATATGATGTGTACACACCATCATATTGGCTCACCTCATTAGGATCAGCAGGGGCCCCAAGCCCAAGCCTGCCACTGCCGCTCCTCTCAACACTCCCATCTACAAAGCTCCCAGCCTCCAAATCCATCTGCAAATTGGGTGGTGGTGGAATGCATGCACCACCTTTATGCACCACTATTTCCCTCTCATCCTCATCCTCATCAACATCATTCACATGATGAGGTGATCCGGACTTGCATATGGGACCCTCAGAGGGGTTAACCTCTCCTACTTCCTTGAAAAACTTAGAAACTCTCTCTAAAATGTAAGATGGAGAGGCAGTGGAAGGAGGGATGACAGTGGGGATATCTAGAGGACTACAGGGAGAGTAAGGAACCCCACTACCAATCTGCATCTTTCGTACCATACCAGGAATGAGGCCTGGTGGGAATAATGGGTAGGGTGGGGGAGCTTGGTCACTGACTTTGGCTGATGGAGGAGTGAGTTGGGACATGGTCAGTTGTTTAGTCGGTAGAATGGACAAGGGTGCAGAGAATTGAGGCCTGGGTTGTAAACTTTGAAAACTGGAGCTGTTTAGGAAGTGTTGACTCGTCAAGGGGATGAACTGAGAGGTGGGCCCCGTGGGCGGTAGGGAAGTGGGAAGGGCACCGGTTGGTTCTTTGTGCTCATGTTCAAGTGAAGGTAGGCCTGAGTTCCTGTGCTGATCGGGTTGCCACTGTGCAAGACCCTCTGATGGTCCTCTTGGTAGCCCTGTGACCAATTTAGAGTTTAGAGAGGGCAGTAAAAGAATTAAAACACACACTCACACACACACAGCGAGAGACCTGTGAGTCCGGATGGTTCCATTGAGGAAGCAGGATCTTTAGTGGGTCCGATCACAGAAGGGGGAAGTCCCGCAGTCATGTCTCTGTCTAGGGCATAGATGGTGTCGTCATCATAAACTTCCTTTGAGGCCCAAAACTGCAAAATCTTCTTTAGCCGAGACTGATTTGCATCTTTGTTTTGAGGGTTGTGATAAATTCTAGCCAGCATAGCCCCAAGAACAGGTCTAAAGGCGAGGGCCTCATTGTCGAGTTCTCGAGGATTCATACGCCTCTGTAAACTGCAGTAGAAGACACAAAAAAGTTTTCAAGTATTTCAAATTAGGCATTGAATGAATCCTGCAATGAAATAAATAAAAAAAGCCTCAATCTAAAGCCTGCAATTTAAATAAAACAAAAATGTTAATGGACGATTCAGGCTCAGAGAAACCTTGTTTCCAACCAAAATCTGTTCTTCGACAATTAGGGAAGCATAAAATCAGATCAAATCATCAGGGAACACAATTTTCTTGCATGTACATGACAGTTCGAAAGATGCAAATTTATGGACTGACACAAATTGCTTACATGACAAATAGAAGAGGCAAATCTATTCATGGGTAAAAAGAACGGGCTCAAGGCGAGGTGCGCCACAAGAAGACATCTTGAATTCCATTCCTACCATGGGTAATGGACGCTGAACTACCAAAAAAGAAAAAAAATAAGTATCTATGCATTGGCACTGATGATACCCCACTTCAGACAAACCACCTTAATCTATGACAACAATCTATAGACCCACATAGTTGCCTTGCTCTCTCTATGAAACAAGCAAGTCTTAGAATCTGCTACATCTACCCTAAGCCCATATATCATAGGTCGCATGAAGCAACAATTTAATTGCAGCAATACAGTTGGAAGCTCCCACTATAACTGTATTGCGTAATAGCACCCCCTTTTCATCAAGCTTTCTTTCAAATGCAACCAGATCATCAGAAAGGATTTCAAACTTTAGGTAGCAGTCTAGCGCAATCTACCCTGCTTCAGTCCAATCAATTAAGCATCTATAAATTGGTGTTCACATGCAATAGATTTACATGATACGTCATTAAAAGTCATCATGGCTTCTTCCCATAAAGAAGAGAAGCCACTTATCAGAACTTATATTCAGAATGGAGTGCAGAAGAATCACCTAAAACAGGAAAGCTATGAGAAGTGTGGACTTGATTCAGGTTGTATCCACTTCTGGTCGTGCAAATAACTTGCAGGGATGTAGTCCAATTGCCCTCCTTAGAACTTGTGACATAGTATTGTACAGATATGTCTAACTAGTTCTGCCCCTGTGCCATTCTGTGATCCATTAACTGTTTTAATTATTGAGGGTGCCTCCCTTAGGTGCATGATTTGTACGTTCACATGGTTATTCAGGCATATGCTGACTGCAGTATTTAATTATCAATTATTTTTGTCAACATCCAAAAAAACCTCAATGGGAAAGCTTGTCGATGTATTGCCAAACAGAGTTTTCAGTCTCTGACAAACTATTGAATGCTAGTACGCATGTCAGGGAAAAAAACAATATACCCCTTTCTAATAAACATGACGGGATAAGAATAAAATTGTGATAGTCAAGTCTTGCCAAATACGTAGAGAGGCATCATAATATTGATCAGTAATGACCTAAACAGTTCAAGAGACAAAATCTGAGGATCTGAAAGAACTTCCTAATCCAAAATGAAAGTTTTCTTTGTGTTGGTGCCATCTAAAAGCATTAGAACCTGTTCTAATTACTTAAGAACTAAAAAATAGGCGACCAACCATCTGGGACACAAAATTAAGATCGAGTAGAGTTATCAAACAGTCAAAAACAATGGTCTTGTTGAACACAGCTAAATGCCAAAGTTACTTTACAGATTTAAAATAACTCTTGGGACATCCTATTTCAAGGGATCCACACCAGAACATTACCCAAACCAGTCTCCGATCATGGCCCTATACTTACTTGACTCAACCATCACCCAATTTGGCCCCTAGACCTTACAGGTTCGTAATGATGTGGCTTGTGAATAGTAGGATATGTCTATCAATGGTTGTCCTCCTTTTGTGTTTCAAGACTATGCAAGAACTTCCAACTCCTTTAAGAAACTAATGACCTGGAACCAAGAACACCTTTCGGCCACCTCCCGTTGAAAAAATTGTCCCTCTCATCTATTATCAAAGATATTGACCTGCTTGAGGATGTCAGCTACCTGAACCCAAAGGAGAGAGCCATTAGAATCACTACTAAGATCGACCTACAATTTGCTTCAGGAAGGACGAGATTTTCAGGCATCAAATGCCGCAAGATCAAATGTTCTTCCATAAAATGGCTCTCTATAGGAAAAGAAGCAACTCTGTCCTACAAATTAAGGTAGAGGGCGCACATTCGAAGACCACAATGACATTTGTCGAGTGATAACTTTCTTCAAAAATATTTTTTCTGCTGAAAACATTGTCTCACCAAAAGTTGCCATTATTGAAATCCTAGTTAATCTCCAATGCGTGGTCCGCCTGCTTAGGGAAACCATTCTATGAAAAAAGAAGTTTGTAGGGCCATCATCGAGCTAGGCCATGACAAGGCACCTGGGCCTGATGTCTTCCCAGTAGATTTGTTCCCACCAATTGTGGTAAATTGCCAAGACATTATGGACTGCTACTCTGAGTTTTACAAGAGGGGCATCACAGACAAGGACATGAATGCCACCATCATCACCGAGAGGAGATCAAAGACTTCAAATCCAACTGCCTGATCAACAGTTCCTACAAATACTAGCCAGTGCTGACCTCCCAGCTACCCAGAAGCTAAGCCAAGTAATGTCACCTCCCCAAGGTGAATTTGTGCAAGGAAGGCAGATCCTTAACGTGGCTCTAATTGTGCACGAATGCATTGACAAACAAGCCCAATCCAACTCGTCAGAAATCATTGCAAATTATAGATAGTGTTACATAGACGCCGACGTGAGTATCATGTCCAGTGTTTATCTCAAGTATCTAGAACTTTGGCCCAAAAACCCACTATGTCCTCGACACGTCCATGCAACCTTATATATAAGATACACAAATAATAAAAGAATTTCAACATATAATTTGTTAAAATAATAAATAAACGATCTAAAATTTCAGAAATATAAATAAATTTTATGGAAGAAAAAAAAATATATATCCTTCTATATATGCAAAAGTAATATTTTGCATAACGCATGTCATACATATTTCACGATTGTTTTAGTAGAAACATTTATAATTTGACATTATCAGAAGGATGGCAAGCTGAATTCAGCACAACACAATTTATATTTTAGAACATAAATCACATTCAAACTTTAGAGACTCTCTATGCGACAATCTTAGTACATAAGAATATTATAATAAATGACTATAAAATCATCATTATAGCCTTTTCCCAATTAATTGAGGTCGGCTACATGAATCTTGGTCCGCCATTCCGTTCTACTAAAGGTCATACCCTCAATGAGGCCATAAGTCCCCATATCTTTTCGGATTACTTCCACCCTTTTGGTCCTACCTTTTACCCTTTTCAGTCCTTCTACTTGAACTAACTCGCACCTCCTAACAGGTGTTGTACTTGGTCGGCGCCATATATGGCCAGCCCATCTAAGTCTACTCTATCTCATCTTATCGCCTATTGGTGTCACACCTAAATTC